GGCATGCTCTTCCTATCATGACTACGCCTGTTAGGAGGTCGGGTAACCCTGGAAAATCGCAAGGCTTCTACACTAAGAGACTAAAGCTTTGAAAGGTCAGAGCAGTGGCCTCTCTAAGCCCCCATGCGATGCCCCACGATACAGCATGCCCCGGATCTTCCTGTGGGTCTCCGCGTCCAAGGCCCATGGCTCCAGAGGGGATGGCTGGATGCTACTACTGTTGTCAGTGGTGGGTTCTTGTTACCAGAGAGCCCAATACCCCTTAATTAAGGAATATACTTTAGGTTATGAACGGACCCTTCACATGATTTAAGGCATATTGCTTGATTATTGGGTTTTGGTACTTGTGTCTCTGCGAGGGAAGATACACTGCTCGCAGACCACGTTTGTAGGTTTACCCAGAAACGGTATCTCTGCTTTCTCGTGCCCTGCTTCCTTCGCTCTCAGCTCTTATCTGACACACATCAGGGCCGGCAAAAGCATTGAAACTCACAGAACAGCGGCCCAATCCTTGGCGCTGCAGAAAGCATGCTCACGCCACCTGCAACAAGAACGTGCTACAAAAGAGAACAAGTTTGATGCAAAGCCTTTTGGCCTGCGCCCCGCAGTCTCCCAATCCCCTCTGCTCCCAGCCCGAGCAAGCCTGAAGTGTCCAAACCTTGCAAAACCCGGTGAACCGTCGGTGACCCTGACCAGTCTACACAGGCGCTCATGGACCTTGCATCGTCTGGTGAAACGCGCGGTCACACATCGGCCTCCGATATCAGGCCTCGAGGGTCGTAGGTGCTCACCCGATATCACCCAATGCTTTCAACAGAGCTCATGAGGGAATTCCTGTGGCAGCCTCACGGTAGAGCTCCCCGTCCCAGCTCGAAGGGTCGACCTTTGGAAGGGCCATGGAGGCCAGGGGAAATGGGGGGGGTTTCCGACATTAGGGGGTGTGAAGGGGTACCTTGTTTTAAGGGGATCCTAGTGGGGATCTCTATTGGCGTCCCCTATGTTCGTAAACCTCCCATGGCACGAACCTGACAGGCCCAACCTGCGGCTACCTGAACTCCAGACCTCCCCGCACCTCTGGGTCCCTGGCTGTTGGGTGGATCGCGTCTGGGTTAGGCAGTCCTAGGGCAGCAGACGCCGCTCGCAGTGAAGAAGGCGAGAAGGCCGAGGAATCGTGGCGAGACTCTGATTATCCCAGATTAAGGTCCTACGTTCACCCATGACATCCCCCGAGCTGGAACAAGTCTGGACTCCAACAGCCACATGAGGCACGCCAGCATTCAGCGGGAGGAGGGCCAGGAGTGCAACGTCATGCCATGGATTGCCGCACAGTGAGATCCAAACCTGCTGAGCACCTTGCCGGCATCTTGCGCCCACGGCCACCACTCCGAGAATCCACCTTGAAAGCCTCCTGCGGGCCCGAGCACAGACTGGCCGAGTAATCCATCCCCAGACTCAGAGTCCCAGACTCCCAGACATTGGAATAAAGCACGAAGCAGGGCCTGCCTAGCGAGCCATCCCCATCTGCGTACATCACGGGACCTTCTGGCCTTAGGGGTGAATCAAATGATATCAAATGACCTACGACATGCAGGTCCTGCCATACGCGAGCATCCCTGCTAAACATGTGCCGGAAACACGCGCAGCGCACATTGCTTCGCAGCGGCACTCTGATGCCATGTATGCCGCTGCCCTACCATGACAAGCGAAGCCTAGGGCTCGGACTGTGGAGCTTCAAACCTTGCACATGTGATCAAGGTGAGCACTGCACAACAAGCTTGGCACTCCTCCACAACATGCAGACACAGGGCAACCTTGAAACTAGTTGAAACGCCTGGCCCAACAGGGTCCAAGTCGCATGGTCATCGCGCAAGGATCTGGAGGCCACATGTCGGGAGGCGCCTGAGAGATGGAGGTGAATGAAATGTCAGATGACCCCTCCATCTCGGAGCCTATGTTCGGACTGTTGGAATGCAGGCTTGGTCACCGCCCATCTTCGCCAAATTACCGAGAATCTCTCGCTTCTAGCGTTACAGCCTGATGGGTTCGGCGGGGGCGGACTTTTCGGGGTTCGTTCTTGAGATTTTATAGGTTTCTTGTTCTCCCCACATCACCACGTGGGGTTCTTGTTCTTCGGGCTGCCGGCACGCCCACCCGCGCCCACCCGTACCCGCCCGCCCGCGCCTGCCCGCACCGCCCGCCCCCCAGCCCGCGCGCTGGCACCCGCCCGCACCCGCCTGTGCCCGCGCGCCCGCCCGCGCAACTACCACACGAGACAACCGCCCACACGGGACACGCCATGACACCACGACATGTGTCGTCCCTCGCGACTGGTGTCGTCCACCACACCAAACAGCCGCACGCACTTTACGAGACACCGCAACACAACGGCAAACATGCCGTATGTGTGTGCCCTCGCATCCTCACCATCTCCACCGTACACACACGCTCACATCACGACAGATGCCTTTTGGGTCCTGGGGGGTCGGGCGGCTGGTCAAGGCCTGAAAGCTCGCTGTGGCCCAGGTTTCGGGCTCGGCTATGGGCGCGCGCGCCCGTGTCGGGTGAACCAAGGCCTAAGCCACCCTGCCTGGAACGCCGGAGCCGCCCCGGAGCTTAGCTGCGGCAAGGGCGGCATTGCGGAGAAGATCGCCTTAGCCACCAAAGCTCTGTCCCTGTCAGGTTGGGGTATGCGAACTTGTGACCAAAATAACCAAAATAGACAATGTAAAGCATCTAGTGCCACCAAAGGTGCATGCACTGCGTGGAACGCAGCTACAGCAGTTATGGCCTCCGCCTGAAAATCATGTCACAAGCAGACTGCAACTTCACCTCCCCAACCAGGACTCCGAGGTTTGGGAGGTTTTGGGTGGCTCTGGGGCCGGCTCATGCTTCCAACGCATGCGTTCTTGGGCGGCCTGCAGTTGAGGCGGCGCACGAGGTTGCGTGTGCTGCGAGTTTTGGACCTGGCTATGGCTCTCATGACAGATCCTTTGAGATCTTGCCTGCCGTGTGAGTGAAAATTTCTCCGACCTGCGGGGACGGTAGAAAGTCGAAGAGACGAAGAGGAGCGATCCTGAGCCGGGGCAGGGGCTCCCGCATCAAACGCAGGCTCCCAGACCACTGCGGCCATTTGTCTCAGAGCTGCACATCCTAAGATCCTCTACCACATATGAACAAGACAACAGGTAGCCTGAAGTCAATTAAAACAAAGAAGGAAAAGTCCATCTTCATCAGCAGCAGATAGGGGCTAATGCAGGCTGCTGCAGGCTTATGATGGCAGTATACATGTTTCATGATAAAGCATTGGGCAATAACGATGATGCCGGCGCGATTCAGTCTAGAACTGCGGGATTCAAATGGCTTGCAGAGTGCTTTAAAAGGTTTTGAAAAGGCGTTGCCGAAGTTCTCAAGACGGCCAGCGGGTTGCAAAAGGCTGTGAAGCAAAAGCTTGCAGAAGTTCTGTAACGGGTTTTAAGTTTAAACCGGCTTTGTGGCTTTATGAGGTCGTTGAAGGGGTTTGATTTTAAAGAAGTTCAAACAGTGATGCAACAAAGTGTTGCGCTTGCAAGACTGTGCAAGAGTTTTGAAGCGCTGTCGTGCACAGACCTTTGCGTCGCTCGAAACATCAGCAGTTTCAAGGATGGAGGTCATATCATCCTCGTAGATGTCGTCGCTTCCCGACCCTCACATCGTCACGTATCAAAAGTGTCACCATCCTCGTACAGTGCCTCTCGTATTTGGGATCCTTGCAAGAGTATTTTCTGTCAAAGCATGTCAACAACCTGGGACTCCATAGATCTCCATAGGGCCCACACCCAGGCTCAGAGGAGCCAGCACCGTCAGCGCCCACCTCCTGGAGAGCTCTGGAGCTTCTGGGATATGGGGGGCCTACGAAAATCAGGGACCCCTAATATAGGTCCCAATAATGGGTTCCCTCAGAATATGACCCCCAATATAAGGTACCCCCGAATTTCGGAAACCCCCATATTTGCAAAACAACCCTCAAAGTTTGACTCAGGGTGGGGGGGCAACAAGCGGGACGTGCAAGGTGCGCCGCCGGTGTTCACCTGCTTCGCGCTTGTATCACATCATCTCACATTCTACGATGTGTGTGCGCTGTCAGGTACATGACTCACCATGACTCACAGGCCTCAAGCAAAGTAAGGAGTTGGGTTCAACAGCTGATCAATCCCCGCGCCTCCGGGGCGAAGTGCGGTGGTACCGTCTTCGGCGTGGCTTGGGTGTGTGTCGTCCTGGCGTTCACAAAGCTCGATGTTTGCAATCTCCACAAGCAGTCCTCGCAGATTCATTTTGGCCCTGCAATCACTCCACACACCCAGCTTCCCACACCTTTCGTCCAACTCCATAGACATGCTCACATGGTCCTGACAGGACTCGCGAAATGGATGAAAGTGTTCTTGACCGGCAGCTGGTTCTCCTGAGCATGTTCAGGGGACGACCCCAGCAGTACACGCAGCAATTCTGATACAGAGACATCGGCCTTGGCTGACTCATCGGATTCTTCGAGTTGTCCTGCGGGGTTGCATGAGGCATTTCACCAAATTGTCACAGCCTAACTGTACCCTCCAGTCCTTTGTCGGACATCGGTACACCAAGTCGTGCGCAGACGCACGTGGTGCACTTCTCGACGGTGCTGACCGCGTTGCTCAGGCTCCCTACTGGCTAGCTCGATATCTGCTGGCTGGTTATTTTGCGCAGTTCTTACTCTTCGCATGTGGCATGCTGTATCGTGGAGGGCACTATGATTGCTGCCACATAAGCCCTCTCGCTTCCCCCCCAGCTCCAGCTGTGGAACCATCCGCAGCAGGAGCTTGAAGCCAAAGGGCTGCGCAAGGCCGACGCTCCCAGCTGAGCATTCTAGAGTCTCTCGAGCGCACATGTGCGCCGAGGCATGTCAGGTGCGAAGGCTGCTTCCATGGCCTGAGAATTTTCTCATCGTGCTCGCAGGAGAGGCCAGTCTGAAGTGCGGCAGTCAAAGCTCAGATGCTGCTGGGGTAAAGCATCACTCGGCAAGGAGCGCCAAAGGCCTTCGGCGGGATGTTCTTCACAAACTTGGCCCTCACAACGCCTGAATTTCCGTGGCTGCGACGGACCTTGCCCCACATAACTCGGAACTTGGAGTGCTTCACCTCCTTCTTGGCCTTGTATACGTAGGCAACCCTCTTTCCAATGTAGAACTGCGTGTCCTCCTTGGTGCGCACACCGTCAATTTTCAGCAGCGTGCAATTGGCATAGCAGTTGGACTTGCTGCGCTTGTAGCCCAGGATCAAGCCCTTGGCATAGAGGCGCACTGGCTGCTTAGTCTTCTTGACGAACTTCTTGGCCTTCGCCTTTGCCTCAGCCATGGCTTACGCCTGACTACTGCCACTCTGGCCTCCCAGCTGAGCCAACCTTTGCGAGCATGCGAATCCTCCATCAGAAGTCACCTGCATGATCGGTGTCCCTTTCTCAGCACACGTGCAAAACATCAAGACCGCTTTAAAAAGATGTACATCCTGGCAGACTTGTCTATGTGAACGGGAGAATGACTAACTCGAACATGCACACAGCTCATCTCCCCTTCGGCCCTGTTTCTCACTTCTTCTGGGTTGGCACAGAATATGGGTTTGCAACATGACATCACCAGCAAGCTCAGATGCTGCTGGGGTAAAGCATCACTCGGCAAGGAGCGCCAAAGGCCTTCGGCGGGATGTTCTTCACAAACTTGGCCCTCACGACGCCTGAATTTCCGTGGCTGCGACGGACCTTGCCCCACATAACTCGGAACTTGGAGTGCTTCACCTCCTTCTTGGCCTTGTATACGTAGGCAACCCTCTTTCCAATGTAGAACTGCGTGTCCTCCTTGGTGCGCACACCGTCAATTTTCAGCAGCGTGCAATTGGCATAGCAGTTGGACTTGCTGCGCTTGTAGCCCAGGATCAAGCCCTTGGCATAGAGGCGCACTGGCTGCTTAGTCTTCTTGACGAACTTCTTGGCCTTCGCCTTTGCCTCAGCCATGGCTGGCCAGTCTCAAGGTAGCAGGGTCTGTGCACCCAAAGTCTACCGCTGGCCAAATGAATGCGGAGACAGATGATTGATCTTATAGGTTGCACAATGTCACCCTGCGCATCGCAGCTGCCTCATGTTCTTTGTCGTTGAGTATGCGCAGATCGCAGATCGAGAAACCCTCCAGTCTAGTCAACACATATGTACTCCGGCTCAGCAGTAGCAACACAGGATATTCATAAAATAACACGGCATGGCAGACAAAAACAATGCAGCGTTGTTTTCGACTGGAGCCGACAAGCGAAATTTAGAAAATGTCAGATGCGCGCTACGTGCTGCATTTGGCAGTTGCAGGTATGGACAAGACTCCGGCTCCGAAACTGTGCATATCTGTGCATGTTCCTTCGCTCACTCAGTACACGCGCTTGGCGGGCGGGACGTGGTGCATCTCCTTGTCCAGCGGCTGGTCGATCACGGACCGGTACTTCAAGACGACCTTGGCATCTTCAACGTAGGGCTTGTCCAACCAAGACAACGTGTGCTTCATCCAATTCTCGTCGTCCCGATCCGGGAAGTTTTCGTGCGCGTGGGCACCCCTTGACTCCTTGCGGGCCTCTGCGGAGTACATTTCCTGGGCGGCCTGGTTGATGAGGTTCTCCAACTCGAGGGTTTCGATCAGATCCGTGTTCCACACCATGCTGCGATCTGTGACACCCACATCCTTGAACTTCTTCATGACTTCTGCGACCACACCCTTGCCCTTTGCCAGGTCGTCAGCATTTCTGTACACAGGTGCATACTTCTGCATGCTGACCTGCAACTCACGGCGCAGGGCCGCTGTCGGGATGGGGCCCTTGGCATAGCGCATCTTGTCCATACGCTGGATGCTGGCCTCTCCCGCATTCTTGGGAAGCGTCACCGGAGGGCTGTTGGGCTTCACCAACTCGGCAGTCGTGTCAGCCGCTTGACGGCCAAAGACCACCAGGTCCAGCAAGGAGTTGGCACCAAGACGGTTGGCTCCGTGCACAGACGCGCTGCCAGCCTCGCCGGCAGCGAGCAAGCCCGGAACGATCGTGTTCTCGGCGTCGCGGATGACCTGCGTCTTCCAGTTGGTAGGGATTCCGCCCATGTTGTAATGCACAGTCGGCAGCACAGGGGCTGGCTCCTTCGTGACGTCGACACCAGCAAAGATCTTAGCAGTTTCCGAGATTCCTGGCAATCGCTCCGCCAACGTCTCTGGTGGCAGGTGATCCAAGTGCAGGTAGATGTGATCTTTCTCCGGACCCACACCGCGGCCCTCACGAACCTCCAGCGTCATGGCACGGCTCACAACATCACGTGAGGCCAAGTCCTTGGCAGTTGGGGCATAACGAGCCATGAAGGGCTCACCCTCGCTGTTGCGCAGAATGCCGCCTTCGCCACGGCAGCCCTCCGTCAAGAGGCAGCCAGCTGGGAAGATGCCAGTAGGATGGAACTGGACAAACTCAAGGTCCTGCATGGGCAAACCTGCACGAGAAGCCATCGCACTGCCATCGCCGGTGCAGGTGTGTGCAGAGGTGCAGGATTGATACGCACGACCGAAGCCACCAGTGGCGATGATGGTAGAGTGCGCACCGAAACGATGGATTGAGCCATCTTCCATGCACATGGCCAGGCAGCCAAGGCACTTCCCATCATCACTCATGATCAGATCCAAGGCAAAGTACTCCACAAAGAAAAGGCAGTCAAACTTCAAGGCCATGCCGTACAGCGTGTGCAAAATGGCGTGGCCAGTTCTGTCTGCTGCAGCCGCACATCGATAGGCCTGTCCACCCTTGCCAAACTTCAGGCTCTGGCCACCGAACGCTCGTTGGTAGATCTTGCCTTCTGGAGTGCGCGAGAAGGGCAGTCCAAAGGACTCCAGCTCCAAGATGACTTCAGGGGCCAGCCGGCACATGTGCTGGATGGCGTCTTGGTCACCGAGCCAGTCGGCTCCCTTGACGGTGTCATATGCATGCCAACGCCAGTCATCTTCGGTCATGTTGGCCAGGGCCCCGTTGATCCCACCCTGTGCGGCCACAGTGTGCGAGCGCGTTGGGAAGACTTTGGAGATGCATGCCGTCTTCAGGCCGTGGCCGACCAGGCCGGCAGCCGCACGAAGACCGGCACCACCTGCGCCGATGACCACGGCATCGTAAGAGTGGTCAAAGACCTCGTAGCCTCCAATCTGAGTGGTCGTGACCCCACGAGAGCTCGGGAGTCGCCTGGCCGCCGCGGCAGCCGAGCGGCCCGGGTTCAGCACACGGGACAGCATGGTGGCAGCACAGCTACGGTACTTGTGGAGCCAAGCGCTGCGCTCAAGCAGTTGAAACCCTCCGTGCCTCTGAACCTCTCATATCATTAACGCCTCGCCCACGGCTGTCCATCAGGGCCTGAAGTCAAACCTTGTCAGGAAGAAGCCTTTTCAGATTTTCCGCAGCGCTGCAGAAGCATCGTACAAGTGCAAACCCCAGGCTGCCAGTGAAAAATAATGGTTTCAGACCTATGACACAGTGGAGGGGAGCATCTTGACTTGGAACACCCACCGCAACTACGAATGTTTCTTCTCTAGCAATCAGCAGCAGTGCTGCATGTTCCTTCGCTCACTCAGTACACGCGCTTGGCGGGCGGGACGTGGTGCATCTCCTTGTCCAGCGGCTGGTCGATCACGGACCGGTACTTCAAGACGACCTTGGCATCTTCAACGTAGGGCTTGTCCAACCAAGACAACGTGTGCTTCATCCAATTCTCGTCGTCCCGATCCGGGAAGTTTTCGTGCGCGTGGGCACCCCTTGACTCCTTGCGGGCCTCTGCGGAGTACATTTCCTGGGCGGCCTGGTTGATGAGGTTCTCCAACTCGAGGGTTTCGATCAGATCCGTGTTCCACACCATGCTGCGATCTGTGACACCCACATCCTTGAACTTCTTCATGACTTCTGCGACCACACCCTTGCCCTTTGCCAGGTCGTCAGCATTTCTGTACACAGGTGCATACTTCTGCATGCTGACCTGCAACTCACGGCGCAGGGCCGCTGTCGGGATGGGGCCCTTGGCATAGCGCATCTTGTCCATACGCTGGATGCTGGCCTCTCCCGCATTCTTGGGAAGCGTCACCGGAGGGCTGTTGGGCTTCACCAACTCGGCAGTCGTGTCAGCCGCTTGACGGCCAAAGACCACCAGGTCCAGCAAGGAGTTGGCACCAAGACGGTTGGCTCCGTGCACAGACGCGCTGCCAGCCTCGCCGGCAGCGAGCAAGCCCGGAACGATCGTGTTCTCGGCGTCGCGGATGACCTGCGTCTTCCAGTTGGTCGGGATTCCGCCCATGTTGTAATGCACAGTCGGCAGCACAGGGGCTGGCTCCTTCGTGACGTCGACACCAGCAAAGATCTTAGCAGTTTCCGAGATTCCTGGCAATCGCTCCGCCAACGTCTCTGGTGGCAGGTGATCCAAGTGCAGGTAGATGTGATCTTTCTCCGGACCCACACCGCGGCCCTCACGAACCTCCAGCGTCATGGCACGGCTCACAACATCACGTGAGGCCAAGTCCTTGGCAGTTGGGGCATAACGAGCCATGAAGGGCTCACCCTCGCTGTTGCGCAGAATGCCGCCTTCGCCACGGCAGCCCTCCGTCAAGAGGCAGCCAGCTGGGAAGATGCCAGTAGGATGGAACTGGACAAACTCAAGGTCCTGCATGGGCAAACCTGCACGAGAAGCCATCGCACTGCCATCGCCGGTGCAGGTGTGTGCAGAGGTGCAGGATTGATACGCACGACCGAAGCCACCAGTGGCGATGATGGTAGAGTGCGCACCGAAACGATGGATTGAGCCATCTTCCATGCACATGGCCAGGCAGCCAAGGCACTTCCCATCATCACTCATGATCAGATCCAAGGCAAAGTACTCCACAAAGAAAAGGCAGTCAAACTTCAAGGCCATGCCGTACAGCGTGTGCAAAATGGCGTGGCCAGTTCTGTCTGCTGCAGCCGCACATCGATAGGCCTGTCCACCCTTGCCAAACTTCAGGCTCTGGCCACCGAACGCTCGTTGGTAGATCTTGCCTTCTGGAGTGCGCGAGAAGGGCAGTCCAAAGGACTCCAGCTCCAAGATGACTTCAGGGGCCAGCCGGCACATGTGCTGGATGGCGTCTTGGTCACCGAGCCAGTCGGCTCCCTTGACGGTGTCATATGCATGCCAACGCCAGTCATCTTCGGTCATGTTGGCCAGGGCCCCGTTGATCCCACCCTGTGCGGCCACAGTGTGCGAGCGCGTTGGGAAGACTTTGGAGATGCATGCCGTCTTCAGGCCGTGGCCGACCAGGCCGGCAGCCGCACGAAGACCGGCACCACCTGCGCCGATGACCACGGCATCGTAAGAGTGGTCAAAGACCTCGTAGCCTCCAATCTGAGTGGTCGTGACCCCACGAGAGCTCGGGAGTCGCCTGGCCGCCGCGGCAGCCGAGCGGCCCGGGTTCAGCACACGGGACAGCATGGTGGCAGCACAGCTACGGTACTTGTGGAGCCAAGCGCTGCCTTACTCAAGAAGTGCAGATCCTCAATACTCATGCATGCCTCTCAGTACTGCGGCCACGGCCGGCACAGCCACCCCAACGGTCTCTGTTTCTTCTCAGCGGAAAGGAGTCAAGGGGCGCTGAAGTGCAAGGCTCTCACGTCTTGGGATCTGCCGTCTTTGTGGCAGCTCCAAGAGATGGTCTCTCTTTCCAACTTTCAAACTCTTCATTTGGGGGACCCATAGATGATTAAGCTCCCATAGGGGTATGGGCTGTACATTGCAAACAATATGCAACTCCCTCCCAATCCGTGTATCAGGACCCTATTCCAAATGCTGAGCAAGAGATTCACAGCCCGTTGTGCTACTTGTGTCGTAGGCCAGGACCTTTCGCCACACGTACTGCTTGACTTCAACTGCGCCCGCCAAGCTTACTCCATCGGCAAAACTTTTCCCAATTCTTCCCAGACGAAGGGCTATGTCAAGCAGCAGTAGAGCAAACTTCTACGAGGACAACGAACTGGTAAACGGAGTCGAGACAATGATGAGGACTTTCATCACTGGACGCAGCAACAGCCACCTTTGCCTGCGCAGCGATTGTGGCAACAAGGGGCATCAAGCTTAGCTATCAAGCCTTCTTCATGCTCGAGATGCTCAAACTCCATGCAAACTTGACAGGAACTGAAAAGGCTCATGCAACCCAGCCTGCTGGCTTTGCCTGCGACTGCCTTGGGTCAAGCGAACCAGTGTCCCGGGCACTCTGAAAGAAGATTCTGCATGGCCCGGATGCTGGGGACATCGCTGTGCTGTGCTTACTGCGGGCGTAGTGCCTCCCTTGTCCTTGTGGGCGCGTTGAGGGTCAGCGCACAGTCTGACCTTCATTCGCGTATGCGAATGAGATGATCACCCGGTCTCTAGGGTCTTTGTGGCATTCGCATCCATCTCATTCAAGGGGCAGTCTTGAATCTTAAGGATGTGTTGGGACGAAGACGTGCTTGCGATGCACATGTTCACTAGACTCGCCTCACCATACCGGACCCGTGTTTCCCCACAGCCCCTATGAACCCTCCATACGGACGACGTGCTGCGACTACCATTACACCTGTGCCCCGACGGTCCTGGAGGAGCGGCTCCTGGCTTGAAAAGCGGAGCGAGGGTAGGCGTGCTAAGCTGTTCAATCACCGTGTTAAGCCTGGTCAGCAGGCCCTGTCCCAATCAGAAGGCCAAGACTCGGAACAGCGTTCAGCCCCGCAACTGGTTCCAGCAACGCGACTCAAAAGGCTAGGACGTGGTCCATACATGTCCACAATCTCACACCAAACAGAGGAGGCAATACAAGAGGTTCTTCCATTCGAAGGTGGAATGCTAGGCACTCTCCGTGTAAACTGCCAGATCCAACCTTGTCGGCAGGACGCTCCTGCGCAAGGGGGTTTTTTCAATTTTGGTCGTGAGATTTGAACATGAAAATACAAAGTGCATACATTCAAAAGTGAGGCATGATGGCTACACGGACTTTTAAATGAAATGCAAGGCAGGTAAATAAGGCAAGCGACCACGAAAACTGTTATCAGACTCGTAAAACTGCACAGGCTTGTGCTTGCAGCTTTCTCAACCTTGGCGGACTGCATCTCCCAGAAAACATTGTCTTCGGTCTGTCTAGCAGGAGGATGTATGTGCAGGTCCTCGTCAGGAACGGCACCACCCTGCCAATGTTGCGATGCTGCAATGCTGCGATGCTGCGATTTGTGAACCTCTAAAGAAGGTACCACCCACGCCCCTCCCTCCCCCCCACCCCGCTGGCAGCAGACAACGACAACACCCTGAAGCCAGTGGGATGGCTGAAGGCAGCACTGCTGCCTGGGCAGAAGGCTTCTCCACTTTTGAAGAGTCCTGCCATGCATAGAAGTCATTGTCCTAAAGCTAAGCTTGAACATATCACTGCGAGCGCGTACGATTAGGATATCGGTAAAGTAGCAGCAAGGTAGCGCAAACAGGCTACATTGACGGTTACATGTTGGAAAGAAAACTAACCGATGGCCGATAGCCCACACTTCTACACGACAGTTAAGGCTAGAGGCCGAAGAAGTGACAATCGGCCAGTCTCACCATTCAAGCTTTGTGAACATCACCCGGGCCCTCTGCATCTAGGTATGCTTTCAGGACGTAACTACAATGAACTGCCGGTCCATGCACGCAGGCCTTCTGAATGCCAGGAGCTTCAGAGGAGACTGCTTTGACAGCTGAGGCAGCTCCTGTGGCGACCATCTGTCTCACCTTTGCAAAGGTGCCACGCAATTTCCACAGGACTTCCCAGAAATTTCGATGGTTTATAAAAGAAGGCTACGTCAATCTAGTATCGCCGGCTCCCCCATGCAAGAGAAGGCTGAATTGTTTCATTTGCACTTTCCTGCCTCTTTGTGCCCGTCACGGGAGAGAGCCCATCAACCAAGGAGGCGACTTCCTGCATCTTCTTCGCAACTTCCTGGGGCCTTATCGGCAATGAAGCTTGGCATGGTGTTTACACCTCGTTAGATGAGCTCAAAGTCTTCACATGCGCGCGTGGGAGTTTGGTGCCGCAAGCCCCAACAACAAAATTGCTAGTTACCAGCTACTTACCAGTTACCGGCTAACCCCGTCACCATGGTCCACCTTGAGTCAGCCGTGGCCTGGGGCTGGCGCATAATGCCGAAGTGCATTGCGATGTGAAGAAAGGCCATGAAAAGAAACCAACATCCAAGCCTCAAAGCTTCCATGCTGAGATATGTTGCC